ACATGGATTTCAACTCTTTAAAACAGTAATAATCCTGCATTGACAAGAAAATTAAAGATGGCAGCATTCAAAGTAACCGTAACATGCCCACTCATTGTCAGATGTGCACTGTTATCAATCCAGTCTTAGTAGTTGTGCAAAGCTTTACAAAAATTATCATTTACGAAGGTAATTGCTTCAGGGTAACCGTGAATGGCCTAGAATTACCACCTCTGAGGTTGTTTTCTACATTGGCTAAAGGGAAAGCATCTTCTAGAGTTAGTTTATTTACTTAGATTTGCAAACATGCTCCTCTAATAATCAATTATGCTTAACAAAAATTTTAAAAAATACCAATTATTAAAGCCAAAAGTCCATAAAGACCATTCTACGCTCCTGACAAACTGTTCCCCATCCTCTTTCTCCAAATTCCTCCTCCTACAGAAAAAAAGCCAACAGCCCTGTAGCATGCCATGAAGATGATTAAATCTGGTAGAGGAGCAACCATGGAGGGGGCAATGGGTGAGATATATCCTTACAACATTGTTTACTATCTTCTTGATATCCTCCTCAGTGAGGCTGCAGGATCCCCACTCCATCCCCCAACTGTCACCAATTTTATAGTATGTCCGCCCCTATGAAATTCAGATTCTGGCAGGGCAAAGGGAGGAAAATAGACTATATGAGAGTCAAGGACCCCCCAGTGAAATTGTCCAACTGACAGTTTCCCACCCCTTCTAATTAGCTGTTAGTGCAAGGGAATAAGCAAGGTCTTTAGCTGTGGTAACTGATCACAAGGATCCTGCTAATCACCTTTCCAATGGATTTATTTTGAAGCTCAGCTATAATAGAAAGAATAGATGAATTTACAGCTGAACACCTGATATATTAATGGCCCTTGTTCAACAGCAGTAATCTGCACAGTATTACTAAGGGACAGTACATCCTTCCTCGTTTATTTTCCATATGTAAATATATCATGTTGAATAGGAACTTTAAATTCTGTGTCTAAAAGCATACTTAAATATTTTATGCATCGGGAAAAAAAATCCCTCACAATTTAGTCAGGGAAAAGCCTCAGTCTTTTAAACTTTTGCTTTTCTAATGCATTTTTATCTTAACAAAATACAGTGTTTAATGTCTGTGGGTTGATATTTATTTAATATGCACTAATACATGGCTTAGAGCCCAATGAGTACAAAAATCAGTTCAGCAGGTTTCTGCTAGCTGTAGGAGCTCAGCACCCCTGTGGATCCTAACCTTGATGCTTCAGGAGTAAATTGGCCAGCAGCCAAACTACCTTAGTAGTCTGTGATCTTCTCAGATCTAATAAACTAAAAAGTATTGGACTGGGGTTGTACTTAGTAGGAAAGCGCCAGGAAAAGCCCAAGGTGCTGGAGTGATGGTGATTCAGTAGGTAGCCCTCTCCATTTTAAGACAAAGTTGGGTAATGCCATAGTGGTACTTATTATCTGCTAAAGAAAACATATTTTGGATTAGACAAACAACTGAGGTGCCTTCTTACCACTTGAGAGCAATAAAAATCCAGTGGCTGTATGTGAATGAGTAGGAGGCATTCTCTTGTCACAATTACCACACAAATGTTTTTATCATAATTGTATTGTCAGGGATTACCCTGGTTTTACTCCATCTCTGTCTTTCCCCTTGCCAAAACTTCCTGCCAAAGCTCTGCTAGGACAATTTTGGGGCAGCTGGTCCTCTCTGACCCTCTGTTGGGACTGATAGTCAACAGTTAATTTTACCTTGTACTTCCTCGAAATTGAAATCAGGTACATAAAGTACTCTTAGAGAAAGCAAAAGTCTATTTCCTAGAAAACTAAACAAAGTCAAGGTTAGTGACATGGAACAAGAAATGTGACAACTGAGGTATCCTGCAGAAAATAAAAGGTCATTTGTATGAACCTGCTTCAGAATTGCTGTGAAAAGCTACGTGTGATGCCTAAACTCATCAAGAAAGTTTAATTACAAAGATATAGCCTGAAAGCTTACCAAGTTGTACTCTGTATTTGACCTACATTAGCTGAGCTTCTAATTCAACTCTCAACTCATTCCACTCAAATTATTTTGGGATTTGGAAAATCTAAACCCCTTGCCTGCTGCAGAGCTGTGTTCCATGGGGTCGCCCTGAGATTACCAAAATTCCTCCATTATTCAGGAATTCCATGTCTTGCTTTCTGGTTATTAGATTAACCTTCTCCTCTTCCCTGTGCCAACTGTTTGGACACTCATGCCGACTTGGTACTCATTTTTAGCAATACCACCCATGACAACATATGTCAGGGAATTTCTCTGCGTATGGTTAGGAGGATATGGTCTGTGACGCATACTGTTGCTACCTTGCACTGAGTGAAGGTAAGCTTTCACAGAATGACCAATGATAATCCACTTGCGAAACAGCTGAAGGAAGGTAATAAGTGACTCTTGCCTTTAAAAATGTAAACATTCATTGCAAGGTTTTATGCTTTGTAGGTCTGTGAATAGGTCAGCAGGGGTGGAAGCCAGATGTTTTCCTGGAAAACTGCAAATAAATTCCAATAAATAAGACTCTTATTAAATAATTATCCATCTGGCTATCATACAGTTGTGACACAGAGGCCCACTGGTGGTTGACTATTCTGTCAGCAACTCTTAACAAGCCTGATAAACTCACTACAACTAACACATTGCTGTCATGATATTCACCTGTAAAGAATGTTGTGTGAGGTATCAAATTAAAGCCAGTAACACTCTGGTCATTGCTATCATTGTGAAATGTGTGTATTAACTGCTATATGAGGAATTATGGATACTTACTGATATTAAGCTTTAAACACCAAACACAGATAGAATCAAGTTTCCTTCCAGACAGGAGGGAGCATAGTTATCTCCCCACCTCTAATGTAAACTTAGCGTTGTGAGTCAAGTTCAGTAGGAGTTACATTTGTGAGTAAAGTGAACAGAAAAAACAAATTAACGGGGGATGTGAAAATAGCATGGTGATGGCACACTGGCGACCCAGTGATAGGGGGAGGAGGATCTTATCTAGTGCACTTCAAAGTACACTTCAAAAGGATCCATTTCAAAGGTTGATAGACTATAAGAAGGGAAAAGAACCCCTTTGTTATCTACCAGTGAGGGAGCAAAAAGGACTGTGCTTTTTGCATTCATTAAAGTTGGATCCTGGCCCGTGGGGCTGGTCATACTGAGAGTTTGCTTTAGGTGATAAACTTATCTTAGACAGGTTTAAGCCTGCTAAAATGATTAGTCTATTGTTTTATTTGTAACCATTGCTGTTTCCATTATTCTTACACCATACTCACTTAAATCTGTGACTCTCCCTTCTTAGTTAATAAACTTATTCCCTTTTTACTATACATTCATATAAGTGTCACTTTCGGACAGACAGCAAACTTGGCAATTTCTGTGAGTGTCCAGGCTGGATATTACAGGGGAATGCATTTCAAGGGCCCTTGGGATTGGGGTGCGCCTAAAGTTAACCTGCAAGCTAAAGTACAGGTTAGAAAAGTTTCTGAGAAGATTGTCAGGTGGCTAACGACTGGAGTGACAGGGAGCTGATACCTAGTTTAATACCAGCAAATCTCTCTTACTGTGGCAGGTGGGTAACAAAGGTGATACATAATCCTGGGTGCTCCCCAAAAGCATCACAACAGTATCCTGCAGTTGTTTCCAAAGGAAAATGGAAATAAGTTGTGCAAACGTTTGTTCATTTCATGTGTTCTCTAAGGACCAGATCCTCTCCACCAACTCACATTGAGTAATACCTTACTCTGCAAGTAGGCCCACTGATTTCATCTCTATTTGTAGCTCCATTACAGAAACTGTGGTAGTCTGCTAGTCTTTAGAGACCCAAGACTAAAAATTGAAAATGTACATTGAAGATAAGTTTGGTGATCTTGATTTAGGGCCAGTCCCAAAGAATCATAATATTCCCTTCATGCAAGAAAGACCAGGCCCTTACTCCTGAAACCACCACATAATTCTAGATAAATAGTCACTACCAGGGAAAAGAGCACACAAATGTTCAGAAGAGTTGACACAGGTTAAGACCAAGGTGCCTTTACAGAGGTAAATGGGAACAATGAACACTGTACCTTTGTGCAGTATGTCTAACTGTAGCCAGCGTTATCAATTAGTCACTTTCACATGAACAGTATATATGTGAAGTATCGCTTTCTCTGTGTGCAAAATTAAAACAAACTGAATTAATGCAATGTAAGGTTGCACAATCAAATCAAAGCAAGTCAAATCAGAAACAGTACACATTAAGGTTCTTGCTGTAACATTAAATTAGTAACATTGCATGTTGTATTCCTGTTTTCCTTGTGTGGATTTCTGTTCATATTTTAAAATATGGCTCACAAAATGTGGAATAAGTACACAAATATATTATTCATTACACTTGACGTTCACGACTCAGTGAAGTGGCTGGGGTTGGGAATGTGAATCATATCTTTGGCTTCCACATAATGATTGCCTACTGACAGTTCTCTGCAGGGATAACGGAACAGGGAACAAGCACCTCTGCTTTTAATGGCTGTATCTTGGCAGTAGAAATAGCAATGAGGCCATCGGGGACTGTTACAGTAACTGCTGTAAACTCAAGCAAATACGGATTTGATTGAAAATATATTTTTTCATAACCTGTACCTTTTTTGAATAGAAAAACATGGAAATAGACCAGATGTTTAGTCTATTTTTGTGTTAGGTAAATCAGCACACTAGCAAGTTCTTACGGACTTGATCCTGCATTCCTGTAAACCCAAACTCTCAGTGAAAGAATGCAAGATTGGGCCCTATTTCTATATAATTTGTTTCTTCTTTTTGTTTCCAGAGAATTTGTTAAACATTGGTTGGAAATTAAACTACAACTAACTATATGTGCAAATCAATGATTTTTGCGGATTGATATAAGAGTTCAAAGGGTTTCTTGCAGCTGATTCAAAAATTAAATATTTTTGCAAATTTTGAAATAAGATATTCTCTTTAATTCTCTGTAACAGGCAATTCTGCTAACCTAACCTGCCGAGCTTTCTTTGGATACAGTGGAGATGTCAGTCCTTTAATTTATTGGATGAAAGGAGAGAAGTTTATTGAAGATTTGGATGAAAATCGGGTCTGGGAAAGTGATATTAGGTAAAAAGCAACATTTTTGTTCTCTCAATCAAGATTAAAACTGTATTTGTTTTTATAGTGAATAGTACTGTGTAAAAGTAGCAAATAGATTTTATTACTTACATGAGTATGAAAAGGCTGTGGGCCTGATTCTCTTCTGTTACACCTGTTTCATGTCAGTGTAACTCTATTGACTTCAGTGATATTACACCAGCGTGAAGCTGTGGAGTAGATTATTTTTGGAAAGGGGAACAGAGAAAGTGAAGGCGCTGGCAGGATTCTCATCTTAGTTTTAGCACCATAAAATCAGAATAAATGACACAGGAATGCAGTGATGTAACAGATTATAATCCATACCATGGCTTCATCAAGTAACAGAAAACATTTGCAGTATTGAACACTGAAAGGTTATTGAGAAGATGTCAAGGGACATAAATATGTCAAGAAACAGGGCTCACAAATAAATACTTTTTAAAGCCATGGAGCATAAAATGTTGTGTCAAAAACTGGCCTTTGTTTCCAAATATTATTGTTCCTGTTATATATGAAAGGAATTACATTCAATTATTATAGAAGAACTAGACCTCAAGAATGTTGCTTGTCTTCCAATGCCATGGCTTTCTTTCATATGGTCTACTTCTACCGGCTGAATACTTAGATACTGTGCAGCTGGGGAGGAATATCATATTCTTATGTTGCTTCTAAAAGTACTGCTGTAATCTGAGATTGTCTGTTCATTAGGAATGCTCTGGTTGACATACCCTAGAAAATCATGTACAACAGAGTTTCTCAAACTGGAGTCCGCGGACCCCGTGGGGGTCTACCAGGGTACTCCAGGGGCCTGTGGGTCCTGCTCATCAACTCCTCCCCCCCCAACTCCTCCCTCTCCCTCCCAGTACCTCCTGCATGCCAGGGAATAGCTGTTCAGCGGTGTGCAGGAGGCGCTGGGAGGGAGGGAGAGGAGTGGGGATGGGAGGTGCTCTAGGAAGGGAGTGAAGTCATGCCCAGGGCTGCCAGCCCTGCTGGTAAGCTCCTCCCCTTCCCTCCCAATGGCTCCTGCACCTCAGGGAACATCTGTTCCACGGTGTGCAGGAAGCACTGGGAGGGATGGGGAACACTCGGGGGAGGGGTCGGAAAGAGGTGGGGAAGAGAAGGAGCAGTGGTGGAGTGGGGGGCCGGAAGAGATGGGGCGGAGATGGGGCCTTGGGGGCAAGAGGTGGAGTGGGGGAAGGGCTTGGGGCTGAGCGGGGGGCTTGGGGGTCTGCAAAAAATTTTAAATCAAAAAGGGGGTCCTCAGGTTGCTAAAGTTTGAGAGCTGCTATGCACAATATGATTCTAAAGTATCTACATGGGTCTGAAAAGAACCTTTTTCCACACAGTATATAAACCAGTACTCTGTGTGTGAATGTATAAGTGTGTGTGTTTAAAATATAGATAGTTACCAGTATAAAATGACAGCAAAGACTTCTTAATGATTTGCATATGCAGTTTAGATTATAGGTATGTTATCCACAATGAATACTTATGACAGACTAAAGTTAGCATATTTAAATTTAATCTCTTACTAAAAGTTTGCTGCTCCATAGCCTTGTTAATCTGGTCTGATTCTCAAATTAAATCTCAATATCTTCAGACAAACTAAAGTAACAGAGGAAACCAAGTATCAAAACCAATAAGGCCATGCAAACATTCAAGGTTATTCGAGTCATGTTCCACCTCCCTCAGGTGATGGAAAGGTAGAGTCAGGAATATCTCACTCGCGTGTACTCTAATTTTATTCCACTGAGCCCAAGTCCAATACACCAAATTACATAGAATTGTGGTATGCTGTATTTCTTATTTAAAGCTCTCCTACAGCCTGTCATCCAGAGACTTAGGCCTTTAAAAATTTTCAAGAAGTGATAATCCTCTTCACAACTGGCTTGGTTCTGTGTTTGTTCAGGGAGGACCCTGAAGAGTGTTTTCCATTTTCTTTAGGCATGTTAATAGTGTGGGTGATGAGAGTTTGAAGCAATTTCCTGTTTGCTTGGTTGGTTTTTTAAAACCAGTGCTGGGACTAGTGAGGGGACAATGGGTAGAAAGGGAAGACAGGTGGTATCCAAAGAGGTTTTTACTCAGGAGGTGCTTGCTTTTAATATCCACTTGAATGGTATTAACCAAGAGAACATTAACTGCTCCAGCTTTCACTGCTGGTTTATAACTGCTCAGTAAAATAAACATGAAGCAATGATTTTTCTTACTGTAAAAATGGCTATGCTGTTTCCTATTGAAATGTCAAAGCATCTCAGAAAATTGCCTTTGGATAAAAACAAAGCTTGGACCATACCGTTAGTAGCACCCTCGATGGGGAATTAACCATTTGGAACCTCTCCAGACCTACACCATGTCCTATCATTTCAAGAGATCATATCCTACTTTTAAGCAGAATGTAAACTTCTCATCAAGGTCTCCTTCCCAGTCCTCAATATGTTATCAGTGTGTGCATCACGCTGCTTAAGGAAGATAATTAACTGCAGCTCTCATTAACATCTACAAAGCCAAACCTCCTCATTAGGAGTGAGGAAGAAAAGAGCATAATATAATCTAATTAAGATTGGCTTCAAATTTGGCTATGGTTTGATGCAGAGAGCTGCAAATTGAGAGTAACATTATATCATGATTATCTAATGCTGTGACATGGTACAAACAGACAATTATGTCTGAATTATTTCATTTCTGTAGAGTTATTAAGGAACATCTTGGAGAACAGGAAGTTTCCATCTCATTAATTCTCGACTCGGTGGAAGAAGGGGACCTAGGAAATTACTCATGTTATGTTGAAAATGGAAATGGACGCAGACATGCCAGCATTCTTCTACATAAGAGGGGTAAATATATGACTTTTTAACATAGCTACTGTACATTGTAATGATGTTGCATTTGTAAACTTTCCTTCAGAGACTACCCTTAGCTTTATCAGCCTAAGATATTGAAAGGCAAAGGCTGATTGTTTGCTTCCCTGCATCTGTGAAGGTCTATGAAATAAACTAGGGAAGCCCATTGTTAACTGTGGTTGTCACCGCAAGAAATATAATAAAATAACACTTTTTAACAATGACTGTATACAAGATACATTCAACAGCTCATGGGTGTGGACCACTGATAAAAGTTTAGTAGGCTAGTAGGGTAGGAAGCTATTGGTAATATAACTTTAATCATTTTCTGTTTACAAAAAAAAAAAGCCCAAATATTACAAAAGTTATAGCTAATAGATTCCTGTTGAAAAATGTACAATAAAAGTCCCACTAGGAAATTTACTGCCTTTTCTGAATCACCCCATTTTTCAGAGATTTTAGTTCTAATGTATTTAATCCAAAGGTCTCAGAGAGGGACTATTGAGAGACAAACTGTTAAAGGTCTTCCTATTTTCACTGATAACAGGTGCTTTGAGCCTAACTAATGGCCTCAGTGGTCTCCCACTGAGATAATTAGGATGAGACAGAAAGCACCTTGCTAAACAAGACTCTCAGTCCACTTGCACACTTTATCTCCTATAATGTATTCCACTTTGACCTATGCTATGCCTGATGCTCTCCATACTCCAGCAAAATCCTGTTGGCTTGAGTAAGAAATGACAGATCAGGACCAAAGTCAATTTTTTTATTGTGCTTATTTTAACCCCTTTATTAAAGGGCCAGTTTCTTACTGTATTTCTCAGGTGTCCGTTTACATTAAGGCAGCAGTCACTTCTTTAGTTTTAGTCTTGTCACATGAGAAATTTGGGTAAATCCAAAATGGGACCACAAGGGGAGCTATCATAAATAATAACATTTTATGTTTCTTTCCCACCCACTACAAAATAATAGAACAATAATGCTTTGTGGCTATTCTACTGCACTAAGGTATAGCACTTATCTCAAAGAGATAAGAATGCAGAAATAATCAAATGATCTGTTTGGCTTGGCATTTATACAGTAAGTGCTTTGCCATTTATTCTTGCAAGTATTGAGTTGGGAAATTAGTCTAAACCAGCTAGCACATCTTTGAAGTTTATTAATAGACCAGCAGGTAGGCAGGGGTCTATTCAGAGGTATTTGAACCCATGTCATGAGATCAATTCAGTAAACACTAGAAAACCCATAGGTTATCATTTAATAGTACAATTAACGTATGGATCTTTTAGGATAAATATTTTCAAAGTTTTGGTGAATTTAAAAACAATAATTCATTGACATTTAATCTTTTTATTATCTTTCTGTTACTTTTCCATACCAGCAATAGCAGTAAGACTATGACACTACATAGAACCTACCCAAGTAGGAGTTTTGCCACTGCCAGCCTTTTAATCTGGCAGTGTACATGGCCTAATTCACTCTGTTCCTCCTGTATGCCTTCATGGAGCTGTCAGTATAGCGAACACACCATAGCATGTAGCCTCATGATGACATGCATATGAAGAAATATTCAGAAATTTAAATCATCATCACAATGAGCAAAAAGTTAGAAATAGCATATGTTTTTAAAAATAGCTTGAATCTGAAATATTCATTTGAAAAGTGACCCTAGTGGGTCTGTAAAATGCAAAGGGTACCTATCATGAGCATTCTACATACATTGCACTTTGACAACTGTTTCATTGAAATGAAAAATTAACCGTGACAGATAAAAATTCTAACTAGTCTCTCAGGTCTCCTAGAAGGACAAGCTTTGCACAGCTTGCTTGGTTTTCTGTAAATCACCATGGCAACACTCTGTTTTAGGTTTCTTGTTTAGACCCACATTTAGTCTCTGCTAGGGATGTGTATTTATTAATTTCTGATTATTTGGTGCAGTCGGTAACTACCAATAAATTAGAGAAATTTTACGTTAAACATTAAAAGACATCTAGAGTGACACTACAAGTTTTTAAGTTTTAATTGCTGGCATTATTTTGTTTTGCAACTTGGTTTTTAAACAAGTAAAAATGCTGGATCTGGAATGCTTATTAGATACATAAACAATTGATTAAAACTTCGTGAACTCTATATACAATGCAATGTCACTGTTCAAAAAGAAAGTAGAACATGAAAAGCCTTGTTGTTAAACAAAGACCTTTCCCAGTTGTATCAACTCAGAGTAATCATTGATTTAAAACAACTACCCCTCTGGTACTCTAACTAAAAATGTTTTCTGTATTATATTATTATTAGGGATGTTTAATTCTAAACAACTGTCACTCAGTGAAGGCTGATCTCATGAGGTTAAGCTCACTAAGTGCTCTGAGACATTGAAAATGGTAAAATTACTCTGCAAATAGGGTGCAATACAGCCAAAGTCCATTTAGATAGATCACGGTAAGAATAACTGAGCTCAGGGATGGGATCTCAAAACTTCAGAGTTCTATGTCTCTCTGCCATTCACTGTGTCCCCTTGATCAACTTAGTTAACCTCTGTGTCTCAGTTTTCCTATTTGCAAAATGTGATACTATTACTTACCTAAATCACAAAGATACTTGGAAGTGTTTGTTTAGTGTTTTTAAAATATAAAGTGCTATACTGCATAAGAGTGAAGCATTATTACTCATAACAATATCAGCATCATCTATGGACCACAAAGTGCTCTACAAACATCAGTCAAGTGTGAAGCATGAGAGTTCCTGTGAAGATGGTAGTGTACCCATTTAACATGGGAAAACTGAATTACAGAGAGATTAAGGTCCAGATTTTTCAAGGTATTTAAGTGTTGCACTCAGTGTTACAACATTTAAGTGATTTGGGGGCCTAAATCTCATTTTCAGAAGGAATTGAGGTACTTCGGGATTTAGGATCAGTTAGACATTCTAATGGTGAGTGCGCAATCCCTCAATACCTTGAAAAATCTGGGCCTAAATGTCTTGCCCAGGTTAACAAAGAGAAACAGTAGCGGAAGGGATGGGAGGAGAACCATAGGAGTCCTCACTTCCATTCTCCATTCTGCTAGACAAAACCTCTTTACTTCCCCATTGTTCAGATCAAGTTATTTTCTTTTTATCCAAGAGAAGAGAATTATGCTTCGTGGGTACTGTTTCTTGATTTTGTTATCAGTGGTGACTATCATTTATAAATCTGGTACATCTTCAACTAGATTTTCGAACCCTATTTTTACATACATTTTTATTTTATATGATTAAGAAGCAAAATATATAAACTAACATTATAACATTTTCTGTGGTCCAGCTGCCAGTGGGGCAGACACAAGGCTCTGCTATTTTCCCCTTTATTATAGCAGATCATAGCCAATGTCTTTTTTGCAGCGTGGAGGCATGTCTTCTTGGCCCACTGTCCCCACTGCATTCTTGCCTCTTGCCCTACAGTAGTGGTCACACCAGTATGCTTGTTTGTTTGACTTACCTGTCATAACTGGTCTGCTGCCTTTGATCTTTATAACCTAGGGCTGGTCAAAACATTTCACATGAAAGGTTTTCCCACTGGAAAATGGGGTTTTGTCAAAATCAGAATTTTCAGAAGGGAAAGATCCATTTTTGACTGACTGTTCCAACGGGAAAATTGAAGAAGAGAAAAAGTAGTTGTTGCTCTGTATAATATATTCGGTACCACCCGCCTCCACAACAATGAAGCTAGAGAAGCGCCAGCTAATATCTAAAGTCTGAAGAAAGGATCTCATGTTTTCTACACGTGGTATTCCTAGTCCATTCATCCATCCCCAGAACATTGTTCTCTTGCTGAGAAAACACAGATGGTAAGGGACTCTGGCTAGATCAACGGAATGATGACAGAAAGATCAGCTTTCTTGAACTGAGTAAATTCAGGAGTCATATTCAGTAAAGTATCAGGGGGTAGCCGTGTTAGTCTGTATCCACAAAAACAACAAGGAATCTGGTGGCACCTTGAAGACTAACCGATTTATTTGAGCATAAGCTTTTGCTCAAATAAATCTGTTAGTCTTTAAGGTGCCACCGGACTCCATGTTGATATTGTACATGAAGTTCACTTCTTCAGCCCTGAAGGGAATATCTCACTTGCACATGACATCCACTGAGACAGCCATGCATCAAGTCTACCAGCTCTTAGTCATGCAATTATGCTGTCCTAATATCTCCAGATCAGCCTTAGCCTGGGTGTCAGTAAATTAGGTGGATAAGGTATGTAACTTCCAACATAGGTCAGAAAAATCAATTCATATATCATCTGGCCTTCAGTGTCAAATTATAGATCAACATTATATAAAGCTCCCAGGTAAAATACAGGCAGTCTTATCTTAGCCAGAAGAGTAATGGTGCATCACCCTTAAGCAGGCATGTTTCAAATAAGATATTCCTGGTTAAAAATGATCAGTTGTTTGTTCAAACTCTGGATGTTATAGTAATGCTGATAAGAAAAAAACATTGAGACCAGTGGACCTGAGAGATAATTTAGCATCAGCCAATCTCAGTCTCAGTTAGCTTAATCTCCAAATCCTACTTGGTCGCTGGAATCTATATCCATCAGAATCATTTTCAGTTCACTGCCCTGCCCTTTCAACTAGCTTCACTCCCAAGAATATTCACCATAGAGGTTTTTAAGGTCAGGCTTGACAAAGCCCTGGCTGGGATGATTTAGTTGGGGATTGGTCCTGCTTTGAGGGTCCTCCAACCCTGATATTCTATGATTCTGAGTGCTGGTCACTATGAGTGCAGCAATGTAGGAGGGAGTTTCATTAATTCCCTATGTAGGCTGGCTCCTCTGAGCTCCTTCACTGTAGAAACACAAAGTCATTGGAATGTCATCACAGATATTTCAATGGTTATCTTTGGTGGTGAAAACAAAACAAGGGCTCATTAAGGCCAACCCGTATAATCAGGCATCTCAGAGCCGGATGCTATTTACATAGAATGAGAAAATATGTTCCTCCAAGACTCTGGAGGTCAGA